AAAGACTGAATTTTACCTGTTTTGAAAATGAACTTCTCTCGCTACACAGAAGTTAACAAATATGGTAGTCAGTTTTGTATTTAGAAATGTATTGGTAGCAGGGATGTTTTCATAATTTTCAGAGATTATGCATTCTTCATGAATACTTTTGTATTGCTGCTTGCATATATGCATTTCCAAACTTGAAATATAGGTGTGAACAGTGTGTACCAGTTTAAAAGTTTTCACTTCATTTGTGTTTTTTAATTAAGGATTTAGGTGTTCCCCCAATTACAAATGGTAAATATTGGACATTATATTGGTTTTAAAACCTGCTTTGCATTTTCACTCATGGTCAAATGGGACATGTAAACTTTGATTTGTCAGGTTTTATGCTGTGTGGAATACTACTTTATGTATTTTAACTTAGTTTTAATACTTTCATTTTTGGGGAAAGATCTTTTTTCACTTCTCATGATAGCTGTTCTATATGCTAAATCTTTATATACAGAAATATCAGTACTTGAACAAAAAAAAAAGTATCACAGGTATGAAGAACTTAAGAGATGTCATGCAAAAGATTAAGGAAACTGAATCTCCTTTTAAAAAATGAAAATAGAAATACTAATTCTAATGTTTTCTTCATGTATTCAATATATCAACTTGTGGTGCTCTTGGATATGTATATCTCACCTGGCATAACACTTAGTTTGAATACTGCAACTCAAAGATCATGCAAAAATATTTTTATCCAGTTGGGTATCGTGGCGCATGCCTGTAATCCCAGCACTCAGGAGGCTGAGACAGGAGTGTCCTTGTGAGTTCAGGACCAGCTTGAGCTACAAAGTGAGTTCAAGGGCAGCTTGAACTGCACAATGAGACCCTGTCTCAAAAAGAAAGAAAAAAAAATTATATCCAAATATTTAACCTCTTCACACATCAAACTTATTTTTAACATACTTGTTAAAAGGTAGCAGACAGGGCTGGCAAGATGGTTCAGTGGTCTAAAGCACCTACTTGGAACAAGCTTGGCAAAGCACAGGGACCGTGGTTCAATCCCCCAGCACCACATGCCAGCCAGCCCCGCCCCCTGGTGGGCTAAGCTGGCCACACACACACACACACACACACACACATAAATAAATGTTTAAAAATGAAATAAAATTAAAAAATAAAAGGTAGCAGACATTAATTTCAATTTCAATTTAGTTTAGTCTTCCCATGACCTTCTTTTAGAATAGATGCCAATGTGTAATTATCACCCCAAAGAGACAAAGGCTAGCTTAGCCATGACCTCATGAATGGGCCTTACAACTTTATGGAAAACAGCAATCTTTGAGGAACATTAGCATAGTTTTTATGTGTCACACTTGTTTAATACTCAATACTGATAACATTTAATAAACTGTCAATTTATTTTAAATGATTTGTCTCTCACTACTATCATTTGATTATAAAGTCTATTCTTATTTTCCTTTCCTAATCATATTTTACTACAAAGTCATTTTAGAGAACACTTAAAAGTAAATTCTGAAATGCATTATGCTTTTTTATTTGAAAAATACAAGTAACTCCTTTTTAGTAACTTCTTTTTAAAATAAATATAAAAATAATCCTGAAAACATTTAAATCATTATGGGATAAAACCCTTTCCAAAACTATGTTAGGTAGAAATGCAAACAAATATGTATGATAAATCTAAATGTGCATTTTTATGTACGTAATTTCATGTATTATCTGAGTGTGTTTGGGAAATGTTTTTGTGTACCCAAGTATGCAAATATAAATGCACAAACATTTGCGCAGGTTCACATACAGATAAAACATATGCACATGTCGCTACCTAAAAAATCTCTATATAACATTTTTCTAATAAAATATATTGCTTATGTTGAGTAATTCTTAATTCACTGCTCAAAAGTTCACTTAAATTTCTGTATATTCAATAGACAGAATTACAAAGAACTAACCAATAAATACTACGGTTTGGCATATTAACAATAAATAAAAACATTTGACATCTATATATGTGGGTCAAAGAAACAGAAGTGCATTTTGAGAATTATCTTCATAATACTGGATTTTAGCAATTATAGTAAGAAATATAAATTTATATATTTAAATATAAAAATCCATCATCAAAGTTTGGCATTGTTACTATTCATTTTAAAGTTAGCAGTATGCTCAGAAAGCTTCTTAAAATAATTCCTTAGTCTTCCGTTAGTTGAAAAAAACTACTTTAATCGCTTAACTGCTTTCATATTTCAAGCCTACTTTCAATCACATTCCCAACCAGTATTCAAACCCATAAATTATCTTTGAAGATGTAATTCTTCATTTCAGTTTATATGTCAGGAATACACTTGTTATCTTGGTCCTCTAATATTTTGTGAAAAGTTGTGCCTATTTCTAGGATAGATGGCTATTTGGAATAAGTTTGTTATCATAAGTTATATAAAGTATTTCCATTAAAATATTTTTAAAAATGTATGAACGCAGAAAAACATAGGTTTACAAGTGAGGAAAAGAGTACTGAATTCAACAACCTGTTTTTAAAGTGTTAGCTGAGTAGAAGTCGGCGTGTTTTTTCCTCAGAGAGCAACCCTACGCTAGCATTGTTTCTGGAGAGAGTAGAGAAGTACAGTCCATGACACGCAAAAGACGGGGCCCACCTTCGGCATAAAAATTGGGGAAGTTCATTATTCTGTGAATAACTCGTTTTCGACAAAAAGAAAAAAGTTGAGTTGGACAAGCATAAAAAGGTCACACATGTCCTGCACCATCCCTTCCCAGTCACCGGGAACGCGAAGAACCACGAAGCATTCAGGGGCAGCGCTGCAGGAGCCAGCAGAGCTCCAGCTCGGAGCGCACCGGTCTGGACAGCTCCGGGTGCTGAAGTTGCACCGGCTCGGAGCACCGGCCGCTGCCTTCCCGCCGCCGCCCCGGGCAGCCGGGGCGCTCGGCCGAGGGACTTCCCGAGGGGGCTGAGGGTCGCGGGCCGAGGGTCCCGGGGGTCCCGAGTCCCGGTGGGGGCGGGCCTCGTCGGGAGGAGCCCCTGCCCGGGTGCAGGACGCCGCGGGCGCCGCGCGGACGCGTGGGGAAGATGGCGGCGCCCCC